TATGTAGTCAATAGCACGTTAGAATATATAAAACTGTCAAATTCCCCATTCGTTTTTTAACCCTAATAGTTTTTTTTTTAAATTAATGGCTTATCTGCGTATTTCGCACAATTCTGCCAATGTCAAGTAAATAAATTAATTTTTACATGTAAAATGAAAATGAAATGAATGAAAGATGGCGATGATCTACGAACCTTAATAGTGCTATTAATAAACAAGGTTTAACGTCAGAGTAAATTAACGCTAAAATTGTAATTTTTGTATTAGTCCAAATTCATATTATACAGAGAACAAGCAAACCTACCACCTTCTAGGAGTAAATATTACTGCCGTAGAACCTCATACTAGGTTGTCTAAGTCTCTGTTTAATAATATATCACGACCTCCGTAGCCGAGTGGTTCGCACGCCGGTTTCAAGATTCCCGGTCGGGTCAATGTAGAAAATAAACTTTTCTATATTCTCTCGGGTCTGGGTGTTGTGGTACCTTCGTTGTCTCAGATACTCCATACTACGGGGGCTTTAGCTACTCATCTTGGAATCTGAGCAATGTATGTGATGTTGTTAAATATTTAAAAATGTTTATATTTATATTTTTGAATATTACTAAGTGCAGTCTTAGCGTTAATTTACTCCAACGCTAAACTCGTTTATTAATAATACTGTCAGACATAGCGGAAATTTGACATTTTATGGTAACCAGACGCTTTTCGATTAAAGTATCAATCCACGTTGTTCAGTTTAGTACTTTGTGTACTGTTAGTACTTTGTGAATGAATACTTCTGAGACAATAAATAGACTAACTCTAAAGCTTAGAGAATAAAACCAATTCTTTAATAATCAAGTACTAAAACTCACCATTTTGAAATCAAAAGTGTAACTAAAAGTAAATAATTTATTATAAACAAAGTAATAAAAGCACTAATTCTTTTACTGAAAGCCATTAACGATATTTTCGACAACTTATTACGTGTTAGGTTCTGTTTCCATTCTCCGGCGCTAATGTTCCTTCGTCCCCCGACATTGGAATCCTTCGTCCCCCGACACGGATATCGAAGGTGAAGTGACCTGCAAGGATATTTAGGCATGTCTCGTCATAACGGTGGGAAGGGGAGAGGAATCTCTAATCTATTTTTTCCCCTCTGTCGAGGCTATCGTTTTCCAGGTCTCATTTTCCAGCAGAGGATACATCGTAGGGGTTTTGGTAAGTAGGCCTCTGGTGACGGAGGAGAATCGCCCCCATGTCGCTCAATAGACGACAGTGACTGTGTTTCAATCATTTTCCCGACGCATAAAAAAAGGTTTTTTCCATTCGGGATGTTAATAGTGTATGAGTTCAAAGAATGATTTATTTAATTCAACTCACTATTTAAAAACCTTTTTAATTAATGTTCCTTAGAATAAGTCTCTGTAGACATATGGATACAGAGATTGTATGGAAATATGGATTTTGTAATATTGTAATGAAAAGTGACTTGATTTTAATGAAGTAATTTTTCAATCTTGACGCTCTGTATTAATAAAACAGGGTAAAAAAAGGAGCCCTTGCCGAGTTTCTTGCCGGTTCTTCTCGGTACATGGTCTCTCGCCGTAGATTTACGAATCGATGGCGTAGCTTTCGACTTTCACAAGTGCTTGTAACAGCCTAGACTGAATAAATAATTTTTATTTTTATTATTTTTTTGTTTTTTGGACCTAAGAGCCTAAATACTTCCAGAAAAAGTTAAAAACTTCTCGTTCGAATCGAATATCTCGTTCTTATTAAATAAAAGCGTCGTTATGGATCACAGATTCCTTTTTAAAACAGTAAACAGGTAGTAATGTACTACTTGTTCTCATATTTCTACACGGATACCTATTAGATTTATATTACAATCACTTCCTTCATGTAACAATAGCAGTTTAAAATTTGAAAAACAGATCTTAAGCGAGTTTAGGTGACGCATATGGTTCCGCGCGAATATTAAATTTAAAGTTCATAGACTTCGTACATATATTTCAAATTTTTTCCCCAGTCCTTCCAGAATGAAGGGCTAGTAATCAATTTTCATTTCTATTCTTAAATGACTTAAATAATTTTTTGGATTTTTTTGAATTTCATATGTATGATACATAATATATTATTATTTATGTTTAAAAGGCTATGCAGTTCCTTATGAAAGTATACTTAGTCACTGCGATCTAAGTATAAGATCTTTTGCGACTCGCCGCCGAAGTCATAGTAGCTCTTTTGGCCTGGTAGCCTCTAAGAAATCTATAATATTCCTGGCTAATATATATAATATTCAGAACTTTTATATCATCTGGGCTGATTGTGTCGTCCTTAATATAGGCTTCGTTTGTGAATCAACGGTTCATGTTCACACAGATCTTTTGGAGTTTCAAGCTCCCGTTTAAAGTATCTGCAAATATCAGTGTCACTTATTTTCATGTGAAATTGGTGTCTGTTTAATTTGCAGTGCCCAGTTAAGGTTTGTTCAATTGTTCGGCTGTTAGTTCTGCTTTAAAAGCTCTGCATTTAATTTTTGCGAATATCCTTCAAAAAGAGACATATGTCAGTTTTCATTAAACTAAGGATTCATCTAAATCTGTCGCCTAAATATTTAGGAATTGACTAGGAACCATTTTACAAAATTTTGTAGTGTCTAACTAAAGTTATAATATTCGTTGTGCGGCGCCTTGCGCTAGGCATTTGCGTATATGACAGATCATAAATATGTCAAGGGATAAAATAAAAAATATTTATTTGGAATTAAAGTGATCTGTTTATTCGATTCGTAATATTAGGCGTTTCCTAGTTTAGCTATGTATTGAAAATAGGTGTTAGCCTGATTCAATCCCGGCAAATTATACCAGTAGGTATTGTTTTTGAATAACGTTGAAGGTCGTCTTTTAAAATTTGCATTGCATGGTTGTGCGGTATACCTCAGAAGGAACCCTAAAACAACTGTAAAAAGAACAATAAGGTAACATAGTGAGTCATCATTAAACTTTGTAGCGTACTTTGTCGCTCTATAAATATAGTTCAACTAGCTTGACTTGGCGAAATTCGTACTGCCCCAGAATCAAATAAAACTATTTTACTTAATTAATACAAAAATAAAATTTGCTAAATCGGTTCACCCACTCGAGCTTTAGCGAGACAAACGTTATCTAATTTTTATATAAACACTACAAAATTTAAATTAGCTGAATACCTTATGAATACCTTAGAGCTTTAATTCAGATGACAATGTATGGGGAACAAAACACTTATAAGTCCCATCGTTTAAGTCTGAGATGGCACAAGATAGCGGTGTAATTTTTGCGTACTGTAAATAAAATACATTTATATACCTTTTAGATAACATTACATGCATTGCTTCGGTGCCAAGATAAGTAGCTAAAGTCCCCGTATTAGGTTAGTGAAATAGCAGGGTCATACCCACTAAAACTCAGCGATGTATCTCTCTCCATGGAGGCGATGCACGGGGACAGCCCGAAGAACTGCCCATGCCGTTCGCCCCATTCCGTCCCACCTCTTGTGAGGCGGGTTCCTCTGCGGTTTGGGAGTAAATCTCAGAGACATTTGAGATACGCTCTAAAGTAGCTAATTATCTATTGTCGTCTCAACTGAACATGCAGTATTTCAGTTAAGGTTATTAATGATCACTTAAAAACTGAATTTTGAAGTCAATTTAATAATATTTTAGCCATAATACGTCCACTGTCAACTTATACGGTTCTGCCGAGTTATAGCATTAATTAGTAATAATTAACTATAACTTTAACCATAGCTATAAAATGTTTTAATGATTTCATCAACGAATATATTTAAGTTATTTTTGTCGATAGTTTATTTCAGTTTTTAAAATAGCTTTGTTTGTCTAAATTCGACTTATTTAAATGTAATCAATTTAATATAATTTAGAAAATTACAAACACCATTAGCACAAATTATATCTACCTAATAATAACACATTACAAAAGATCACTAACACATTTGTTAATAAAATTGATAAAACACTTTTGTAGCTGTCTTATGGCTATGGCTAGTTATAGTGAGAGAATAATGACGATACTCTTACCTACTTAGTCTAGATTATCCTCTCCACTCTCCAATTTTCATAATCCATCTTCCACCTCTTCTTTAAAGCTAAGTGAAATTGTTCCTTAAAAACAGGAACGCACTAGCGATCTATAGACGGCTAATAATTTGATCGTTATCATCTTATAAGATTGATTGGTTGATTTTTTTATCGTTAAATGGATGCACTTTAATATCCTCTAAGCTCCGTACTGACTTACCAGAGCGATTTATTATTGGTCAGCTAACAATCACTAGTAGCGTTTCTGCTCTGTTCATGTTTAATAAAACTCAATAAATTTCAATTTGTTTATTTCTTACGTCGATACGTGCCTTTATGAATAAAATCTTTATTGTGTACCGTATTGTATTGCTTTAGTTGGTATAAGAAGAAAACTTAAATTTAAATAAATTTATAGAAAATATTGCATTTCTACATAATTACAAGTGTATGGCACATACTATAATACAAAATATACAGGATTATATACTATAGTATTAGTCTAATATCACTTTATTTAATGATATAAAGGATGATGTAGATGTGTTAGAGTCACAACAGCAATCAGCAGTAAGGTATGTCCTAGTATGCCTGCAAATAAACAAAAAATTACTTATCATACGGTCGAATAATCAAATAACATAAGGCAAAGCATTTTACGAAATTTAAAAAAGTATTAAAATATTATAAATAAACTTCGACTGCATGTAAAACGCTAATGACGTAACCTTCTAGATAGCGCATGAAGCAGAAAGGAGACATTAATTTTATTTTTTGATTTTATAGTTTTGTAATAAAGCTAATTTTGGCCCTAAAATTCGTGACTGAAGACTGCTGGAATGTGTATCACTTTGTCTACTATGTATGAAGAGACTATGCAGTTAAGTGCAATCAAACCCGATCAAAGTAGTTTTGTTATGATATATTATACTGCTTAGATCCCAAATTATGTAGTTTTTAGTAAAAAATAAAAGTAGGTAGCTTTAATTCAGCTGCAATACGAACTTTTTCGAATATGATATTTTATAGTTTGATGTTTTTTATTTTCTAGTCCTGTCTGTGTAGAATGGACGAATTCGAAAAACATTTCGTCTTCACCCAATTGCCACTTTTATTGAGTGCCCCCATACACTATTTCATTCTCGATATTGACTTAACAGCACGTCAGGATATACATAACCGTCAAATTTCGACACTCTATTTTAAAACCTTATTTCATAATATAGCTAGAATACAAAATCAATCACGGTGACGTATTATGGTAGTCTGACGTGCAGCCGTATGTACTTTTTGGAAAATCTCCTTGTTTCTGATATGCTGGTGAGTCATTAGTTATTACTCAACTTGTTACACTTAATAATTAAGGTGCTTTGGAGTTATCACGAGTGCGGGAAAATTCGGAAAATTACATTAATCCTTGGTATGCGTGTATCTCAAGACACGGCGCGCGCCTTACGATTGTTTCGCTCATAAGTTTGGTTCGGAGTTATATTTCCTTGTAAATATTATGGGCTGGCTGATTTTACAAATACTATAACTAAATAAGAATTAAGAACACTTTCAGAGGAAAAAATATTGTATGAAACGAGTATTACCGCGATAGATTGATAGTTGGGTTTTTCACCTATTTTTATTTCCCGACGTTTCAACCGGGTTACACCGACCGTGGTCAAGGGTTTTATAGAGCGTAAAAAAGACATCGAATTGAAGACTCCGATTTATTATTATTTTGATTAAATATAGCAAAACTGTGTTTTTAATGGAAAAATTCTTAAATGAGATAAAAAACCAAAAAAAAAGATGGTAGAAATTGAAAGTACATTGAAAAAACGAAAATTTTATTTATATTTACATTTTTCAATAGATAAGTTGTTAGTTAATATATCTGAGAATACTATAAAAATCCGAAGTTAAACCGTTCAGTATTGTTAACAATAGAAGCGAAAAAGTACAAAGGGAACAGCCGGCGGGGAGAATTGCTTGATCGTACCGCATACGAACGGGGGTGCGTGCGTAAAACCCGCCGCACACCAAGAGTACAAGCAATACTTTTTTTTCTGATTTAAAGTATTATCATCTATTAGAATCTTTTTTATTTGTCGACTTTATTAACAGTTGATAAAAAAAAATGCTTGATTTGGTGGTAATTCATAATTTTCTGAATTTCCTTGCTTTCGGTATAAACCCAGAGAACTATATTAAATAAAGTCTAAGTCTACTTACACACTGAGCTTGATGATTCATCTTGCATTGGGGCTTGGTATTCGTCAGTGACTTCTAGAAACTGATAAATAGCTTTGAATCCTGTCCCGTCTAATCTATCATTAGATCGGAATGTAACTTTGAAGAAATTCCTCTCTGATTCCACGTGGAACTCTTTCTTTTGACCACAAAATCTACCAAATCTACTGTCTTCAGTCATTGAGTTCGATAATTCGACGTAATCACTAGCAGTTACCACTTCACACCTGAAAAGTAAACAAGAATATATTTAGATTTCCTTTGCATCATTCATAAGTGTAATCAATTTTAGCTTCATTTTTAACTTCAATATAAATTCATATCTCCTAGCTTTGTCTATTTTCTATACCCTTTGCAAGTTACTATAAAAAGGTATATATTGCTATCAACAACCCGCTGACCCAAATATATTTTCATAACTTCAATTAGTCCGATAGAAATAATTTTTAGTATTTATGTGAATTTCTTAGTTTTCCTCACAACTTTTCTACTTTTCGTTTCCTAAAATATTATTCACACTAGGTAGGTTTTGTGTATTTTCTGTTTTTATCTGCATACATAAACAAGCGAACCGGTTTCGTACGAGATAAGTTGGTCTAAATTATAACCCTTTTTTTTTTCAACAGTAATAAATCAGCTTCTAAATATTTTGCATGATTTAGGAGCAGTTATGGGTCTTATAGCCTAAGAGAATATCAAAGCTGAAAGTAGCTTGATAGAACTATTAATTTCGCAAAAGTAGAATTCAATGTAGTGGCAAACTCGAATCTAAGAACGAAGGGGCGGGAGTGGGGGGCAGTTGCCCGAGTGTCAATGTCAGGGGGACGTCAAAAACATTATAACCGACTTAAAGATCTTTTCAATATGATAGGCTCATATTAGGGGGGGGTTGAAATCGTAGATGCCTCATTGAGAAATACTTACGGTTCGATTCCTTCAACGTCAAAGTTACTGAAGTGCAGATGCACCTTCTCAGTTTCCCCGCCATGGAAGAAATACGTGCACTCAGTATCCCGAGGATATTGGCCCGGATAATTCGGAGAAGCGAATGTGCCGTTTCGGGCTTCACTACTATTGTACACGAACGCACACGGGAATTCTTTTAGTTGTCTCCCTGTGTTGATTCCGAAATCTGTAAACCGATAGTTATAAAAATTACTAGGTTTTATGGATCTTGAATAGTCTAAAACAAGCTTTGGGGTATTGGGTTAAAGGTACTCTGTCGTGTGTTGTGTTCAATTGAGTAAGGCTGTATTGGTGTTAGTCAGGTTGCGTGCTTTCAGTAAGGGTTGGTGATTTTTTTTCCTGTGTGGTGATGTCATAATACAATATAATTGTCACAACCCCTACTCCCCCCGGTGTCGTAAGATGACAAAGGGATTTCACACTAAGCAGAGAATGGGTAGTAGCGCTCTCTGTTAAATCATATTGTTGATAATGTGATCTCTAACCCGCCTGCCAAGCGTGAAGATTATGACAAAATCCTTCACTAACGTGTAGGAGGTCCTTAGACCTGCAGTGGACTGCTATAATTCACGCAAATTGAAAATGCGCCTGGCCGTCATTTTGATGACGTAATTGCATTCAAAAATCATTACCGTTAACAAATATGCACTGGTTGACGAGATCACACATCATTTTTGTTATGTTTTTGTTGGTTTCGATTATTATGTTTTGTTGTTACTTGTCATGGTTGACTAGCATAGCAACTGTTAAATCTACAGAATTAAGAATTAAGACTTTGTCATCTTACTCTTCTTTTTTTTCTTGTCCAATATAATCTTTAAAAAACCTTATATATAGTGGTTATGGCTCCTCCTTCCACCAAATCTTCAAGGTTACAACGCATTAGATATTTACGGAACAACGGGTTTTTATGATGATATGAATAGGGTACCAACCCTCGCGAATTGCCCGGCAAACTCCGGTAATAATGATTAACCTCCTGGAGAACGATAATTGCTCCGATTTCTCTAAAAATTCAATATATCCGTCGTTATTCACTCGATTTGTGGCCAAAGCACCGCGCGCCGCTCATTAAAATTTTGTGGTGAAAAACTGAACAATAATAGATACTACAAAATAAATATAAACTTAAAAATTAATTAACGATTTTCTTTCAATCTCTCAAATACATTTCTTAAACATATTGTTCTCCCGGGTTGATCCATTTGAGAGTTGACAACCCTAATGTTGATGGACTATAATTGAATAAAGTCTATGGATGTGGGATTGTCAATCAGACCTTATACAGACAACGTATATTTTGATTTCTGAAAATCTGTATATATTATGCTCTAAGGCACTTGCCGCAAAGGGTTTGGCGAGAAGAACTGCCTGCTTTCTAGTTCTTTTACATTCGATACCTAAAGTGGTGACATAGTACACTATAAAAAGGAACTAAAAGCGGGTAGAATGATATATCTGCAAATTAGACCTTATTACAATTAAGCTTAAACTTTAGTCACTCCGTGATATCGGGGACTCGTAAGATAAAAGGTACATCGTAGCAATCCCGTTTTAAGCGATCTTTCTGATGTTAATGTCCATGTAAGTTTAAACAACAAAAAGCGTTTTATTTTAATTCAGTATCAATCGAATGGTAAATACTTTAGTCATAATCACCCTACAATCAATTTGGCCAAATATGGCCGGCCAAGTCAAATGATATGGCTAGGTAAAATGACTTTAGGTCGGCATACTCACTTTCTACAAACGAATAAGATATTTTAAATCCTCTAGCATATCTCGAAGATTGTGTCCCTCGGAATTCCAGCATTAGTTTCGGTCCATTGGACATAATTGGCTTGGGCAGGTTGACTCCACAAAACATTTCCACCTTCTCTAACCGTCCGTCGACGTAGATGAATGCTTGCAAAGAGTCCACATTTGTGCAGCTGAAATTTAATTAAACACATAGGATATCATTGAAAATTTTTGTTTTGTCTTCCGCCGTAGATTTGCGAAATAAACGATTGCGATTGCAATTTGCGAAATAAATCAAATTTGAGTTGAGCATTGCGCTATGTTATCATCATCATCATCATCATCATCAGCCCATTCACTGCCCACCCATCCACACATCACCATTCGTCCACTGCTGGACATAGGCCTCCCCAATTGCACGCCATCTACTTCTATTTAGTAGCTCGGTGGCGTAATGGATAAGCGCCGCGGCCCGCGATTGTAGTCGTTAAGCAACTTTCGCAAGGGTCGGTCACGGGATGGGTGACCAAAAATTATTATCTCGAGCTACTCCGTGCTTCGGAAGGCACGTTAAGCCGTTGGTCCCGGCTGCATTTGCAGTCGTTAATACCCTCCAATCCGCATTGGGCCAGCGTGGAGGGTCATGGCCCATCCTCCTTAACCATCCATAAGGAAGGCCTGAGCCCCTGCAGTGGGGACGTAAAAGGGCTGGTGGTGGTGGTGGTACTTCTATTTTCGGCTGTTCGCATCCAGCTCCTGCCAGCCATCTTGCGCAAATCATCACTCCACCGCGCCTGAGGACGTCCTACACTACGTTTGCCGAGACGCGGTCTCCACTCAAGAACTCGTTTACCCCAACGGTTATCGGTTCTACGGCTAATATGGCCAGCCCACTGCCACTTCAGCTTGCTAATCCGGTGGGCTATGTCGATAACCTTGGTTCTCTGCCGGATCACCTCATTTTTTATCCCGCAGAGAAACGCCGAGCATAGCCCTTTCCATAGCCCGCTGAGCGACCTTCAACTTGTGGACCAGCCGTGCCGTCAGTGTACACGTTTCGGCTCCGTATGTCATAACGGGTAGGACGCACTGATTAACCCTTAATTTGGCAAAAAATTCTTAGCGTGATTTATTAAATATTTCTATTTAGATCTTAGTTTATGAGTCTAGAAAAGAGAAAAAAAATCTAAAAAAAATTTTTTTATAGGTAATTACACAAAAAAAATGTGAGTCTTTTTTACAACATTGCCAAATACTGGGGAAATTATGTAGTTTTGGCAGTGATGCCTTTTTACAACATTGCCAAATGTAAGTATAAAAATAAAAGGCAGATTTAAGAGTTTAATATTTATTATTTTTTATGAAAATCATAAAAACAGTTTCGATCTTTTGTCAAACACAACCTAACGTTACATTTTATACAAATTATCGTTGTGTAACCGTTTTTACAAAGCCGACAGCGACCTTTATCTGTAACATTTGGTAAATGATTTAGTCCATCATACCTAATATCAGCAATAGGACGAGCCGCGCTTGGTTTTTTTATTTTCTCTGATGGACCTGGCATGTCACATACTTCTGTGTTCTTGTTTATGGATAAAGCCATAAAAATTTGGCACCGAAACTCCTTCAAGCTTAATGTTTTTATAAGTCCCTTCTGGACACAGTGTCGTCGATATAGCAGCCAACCATTATTGATGCTTATATCCAGGATTTGAGCGAAGATGCCCATGTACCATCTTCTTGTTTTCAAAGGGGTCCTGTATAAGGCTATTAACATGTCCGCTAAATCAACGCCACCCATATGTGCATTGTAATATTTAACAAGTTTGGGGCAATCTACATCAGCCCGTGCCTTGCGTTCTTTACAATACCTCTTTATTTTGCTCATCGGGTACGAATCGGCAAATGAACTCACCAAAGTCACAGCTTTGTTGTCATACCATTTGATTACAGCTACCTTATTCTTGTTACATACTATTTGAGAAAAAGAGCCCCGACCTTTCTTTTTTAGTGCTTTATCGGAGTCCAATAAATTCTGACATCCACGTAAGCGGTTTGCTTTTATAGTACCCAAACTAAAAATCCCTAAGTTGTTGCGTAAATACATTACTAGCTCTAAAGAGGTGTAATAATTGTCAAAATAGACAAAGCATGGCGTATTTCTAATAGATCGACAAAGAGCTATAACTACTTTTGCTCCAAAGCCAAATGTTTCTTCCTGCTGAGTAAATTGTACGTTGCGGAATGTGTCTTCGCCTCCATATAATAGGAAATCATAAATATATCCAGATACCCCTGATCTAACGAATGCTTTGAAGCCCCACTTCTTAGGCTTTCGTGCGTTATATTGACGTCGATTTCCAGCTTTTCTACCTTTGTAAGGAAGAGTCATCTTGTCGATGCTGAATTGGTTTTCTTCATCTGCAGCGCGCAAACAATTGAGACGTACCTTTTCCACTACGGATCGGACCTTATAAAATCTGTCACTAGTTTCTTTACTATTATCTGTGAAATGTATAAATCTTCGGATTTGCTGGTATTTTTTAAGGGACATTATGTCAGCTACTTGTGAATAGCGAAATTGTGTACTCCAGTAATCCAAATAGTTGGGCATTTTCACTACACCCATAATAATATGAATAGCAAGAAAATTTTCAATGTCTTTTCGCGTCGCATTTATAGATCTGCCTATTTTTTCAACGGAATAAATATTTGTCTGTTCTACGATATCCAAAATAATGTCTTTAGAAAAAAACTGTATGAAATAATCAAGAGGCGACATTAGTTCAGTGGCTGGATTAGAAAACAGAATCGACTCTACAGTAGCTCTGTGCGCAAAATGTGTCTTCCTCCAATTAAATGTCGTTTGCATGGGTTTGATTCGCTTTGCTAATAGACGCGGTCGAATGTTTGTTTCTTGTTGCCTTGAAGATCTAGTGGCGACGCGTTTTGCTGGACCTCGCGATGTTGGTGTGGTTTGCAGACCTATAAGTGACTCTTCAGTTGGTGTAGGGAGCAAAGGAATTGAAGAAATAGATGGGAGAGCATTATAATCGGTATCATGTGCAGAAGGAAATACAGCTTGCAACACAGGAGTGATGGGGACACCATGGTCAGTAGCATCACTTTCACACTCAGTATCACTGCCCAATATGTTCATGCGCTCTAAAGATGATTCTATTGAAGGTGCTGGAGAGCTAAAGTAATAAGTGTCTTGTTCATGATCTGGGATTGGTGCGATTTCGTCATCTCCAATATCAGATGCGCCGCTGTCATCAGAACGCGCATTCTCAAAAGGGACTAAAGCTAATATACGGTTAGCCCTAGCTCGTTGGAGTACCTATGAACAAAAAACCACCGCATGCAACCAAAGCCAAACCAATGCAAAAAAAAGGAAAGTAATGTGCACTGATATAACAACAGCAGCCCTATGCCCACAGATGGATTCAAGCAGCAACATATAATATTATGTTTATTACAAAAAAAAAACAAAAGAGATATTTGCCCGCGGTAATAAGTAGCTTATGTATTATTCTGATATATAAGCTATATTACTCTAAAATTTCGTGAAAATACGTTCAGTAGTTTGTGCGTGATCGAGCAACAAACAAACAAATAGACACCTAACGGAAGTAACATGTAAACAATTACACTTTGGGCAGTGTTGCTTTTTAGCAACACTCAGTAAATATATTAGTTCATCTAGTGCTTGGCACTGATGCTTTTTAGCAACACTAATTATATGCATTAGTTGGTAGAGTGCTTGGCACTGATGCTTTTTAGCAACAATAAGGTTATAAATAAATTGACGAGTGAGTAAACGCACAATGACGAGAAATTATTATTTATATTATTAGCTTAAGTCAACATAAATCAAATTCAAGCAATATTCCCACACCATTTACACAAAAAATTGATAAATTCTATAAAACTTACGGCTTTGTTGTTGTTGTTGCGCTGCATGTCGGCTGTTTGACAGAAATAGTGATGTGCAATGCTCAAAACTAAATCGGAATTTAATCCGATAGTGATGAGATCATATATACTTAAGGATATAATCATTCGATTTCAAACTGAATAATTATATGGAGCTGTAGATTTTTTTTAAATCCATGTTGCCAAAAAGTATCGACACCAAATTAAGGGTTAAAGACTTTCGTCTTTAGGCACTGCGGGTTCGACGATGTGAAGACCTAACGTAGTTTTCCAAACGCTGCCCAACCTAGCCGAACTCTTCCATTTTCCTCGCGCTTTGTAAACAAGAAAGTAATAATAATGTCTGGTACACGACTTGATAAAAGTTGATGCTGAATAAACGCGGCAATTTTAAAACATCTTCATATATTATTTATGAACAAATAAGTACTTAATACTAAATTATTTGATGAAAATATATAAGATGAAAGGAAAAATGAGATTATTTCGTTCTCAGCAAGTTCTAGTCATATTTTGTCGCAGTATCTGCAGTAGCTTAGTAGTAGATATCTTAAAAGTTCAATAGCTATTTTTGAAAAGAATCTGATTATCTTCTAATTCCATAATTTAACTGATTATTTAATTTAAAATTATACTTACTCTACGGAACCATCGGCGGACTTATACAAGTAGAAATCTTGAAATATTAATCTAACTCTTTCCTTTCCCCGGCCGAAGAACTCGTAGTGACAGTGTGTGTTCGGTGGATAAGGAGAAGGAAAGTGTGGAGAAGTTAGCGTGCCGTGTTTTGTGCCATCACTGCTAAACTCTTGATGACACGATGAAGCTGGAATGGAAAAAACAGCAATGTAAATATATTTATATATTTTTGTGAACTTATAATCTCGATTAGATGTATCCACAAAACATAGAGAGAGAATAGAAGTAGTAAGTGGGCGGGGCACGCGTCGCTGGCATATGCGCTTTTACTCATATGACGCCCTTTCCTCGGTTTTATGTTTGCCAGTCGTTCGTCAATCGTCGAGTGGTGATTTTACAGATTTTTTTTATAAAAAATGCCGTTTTGTGCTATTATCACTTGCAAAAAGCAAAGCAAAGTATACAATCTAACTAATGCAAACATTTCCTTTCACTGGTAAGTACAATTTTAGTGCTAAAATATAAAAAACGTAATAATTTGACACAATGTTAAATAAAATATACATTGATTGCTCAAACCAACATCAATGTTTCTGACCCCATTACTAAACAGCAATGTAAATCATTTTGTGCACTTTGCAAAAAATAGTGCTGTGCCTCCATTTGTCTGAAATGTACCGATAGGCTGCTGCTGCTCGGAATCGTATTGTTAATTATATGGATCGTAATCGATAACTAAAACATATTTATTTAGAGCTTTTCTTTCATCATTTCATAACAACGTTATCGATAAATATATGCCATAATTATATAAAACTAAAAAATACTGTTTACAAGGGAAAATTATAGATGAACTAATGAACTGTCCAGGCACTTTTTTTACGAAGATTCGGTTAATTATTTACACGCAGATAAATATTAAACATTACTGATGTGCTATAAATATCTAAGTTACGAAGTATATCACCGTTTTATGAACAATACATAAATTAAACGAAACTTCGTGAAAAGCTAAGAGTTGGCCTAATAGGTCTTGTTAGAAACTGGTGAAACTGGATTTCACTTATTTTGCATTACTTATATTTCAGTTTCCCTAATAACTTTACAACGGATTGCCTTGTTTACATAATTAATTTTGCCCTATCTGTTTTAGACCTAAACCTATCAAATGAATTTCAAAACAACATAATATCTATACAAACAAAAAATTATGTTTTCAACTAACGTAATATTGTTGGTGGTGTGAATTTAATTTACAAAATTAATTTTTAGGCGTCAATTTAATTTACCTTATTATGCTGATTCATAATCGGAAACTATTATTATAGATATCGAGTTAAGAAAGTCACTTTAAAGAACCGCCCACAGAACAGCTTTTATCAGTTTTTTTGTTGCTTCATATTTGCACATAAGTTTATAGACGCATGTCTCAAACGGATGTGACTTTATATGTAGATTGACGTTTGTACGTACTTATCGCTTTTGTGTCTATCTTCAAACTTTTTTTGTCACGGCTTTGAAACTCATATTTGACCAGCGATTCCTTATTGTCCAGCCGTTGCAATTAATAATGTAGCTACTATTATTATTACAGATATAAAACTTAGAATAATAAAGTAAAACAAACATGGCTATGATCAATTTATTAGTGTAATGATCATATTAGTTATTATGAAATGAAATGAAAATATCTTTATTCAAGAAGGCTATTACAAGCACTTGGAATGGCAAGTTTATTTTTATTTCTACTTTTTTTTGTGAAGGAATCGTAATGTTTTCTTGCGTACGTAATATTTTCATTGATGTATTGAGAGGCAATAGTCAAAATATTTATTTCTTTAAATATTTCTCCGAGAGATTCTCTAGACCGTAAATTATATATAGCGTGGACAGCTCTCTTTTGTAGAATAAAAATATCTTGAATGCTAGCCGCAGAACCCCATAACAATAGATTATACGTCATTCATTACACTATGAAAATAACTAAAATATACCAATCTTGCCGTTTCAACATTTGTTAAGAGTCTAATTTTTTTAACAGCAAATGCTGCAGAACTCAGTCTACTTGACAAATTATCAATATACCAAAATACCAAGGAACTTTGTCGATTCCACCATCTCAACTTTTTCACTATTTACATTTATAAGTATATTAACATGCCTCACATTAGGTAATGCAAACTTTATGTATTTCGTTTTATTTGAATAAAGCTTTAAATAATTACTATCAAACCACTGTAGAAAATTGTCGAACTGAATTACATTGAACTGTTTCATAACAAAATTTAAAGCTCTTATTTTATCAACTAATATGTCACATCACTAATATGCACAATCGGAATGATACCAGTAAGAAAAAAATACAAATTAGGCTTAATGTAATTAATACAAAAATTCTGTTGTTTTCTTAATTTTTGTTTTTTTTACACTTTCCCTCGCTTAATTATATTACTCCACAGACATACGATAGAGTGTATCATTAAGTTTTCTTAGTTTTTGTACTGCGTTTTTTAAAAGATATTTTAATAAATTATGTAGGGAAAAGCCTTAATTTTTCAGTATTCACTTGGTTACAGCAAAATCTAATATTAATAGTTCGCACATAAAATGATGACCCCAATTTTTTTAAATGTGCATAATCTTAAAATATTTTTTTCCTTCTGGTATCCCCATATACAGCCACGTGACAGTTCAACATTCATGTTAATGTAAATTATTTATTATCACGTTGAATAAGAGTTTGTTTTTAATCGTGTGATTTCTTAGCTTAGTATCTTTTTGGGATTTGATTTATGTTATCGCGAACCTATCGCGTGGCGGTTTTTCATGTAGTGAACAAAATGATCATTTCATCTAATCTGTATTTGTGTGCGGAGCGGCGACACTCGGTTCCCATACTAAATTAATATCATTATACTTCTAATCTCTCTCTATGTTCTGTGGATGTATCCGAACGAACATTTCGTAAACTGACGTTGACAGTCTGTTGAAAACCACAAACGTGCGCATGCGTGTCAAAATCAATAGTGAGACCCGTCTTTTCACGTGATATTTGTGGTGAATCGGAGATATTTTATTTTAATTATTTTGACATCTTGTATTTAAGAGTAACCTTGAGGTAATTGAGCCAATTCTGTTATATCACTCTCTCTAATCTGAATTAAACAAATAAAAACTATTTTTAATTTGAGGTGGTTTAAAGGTTATTCCGTAGTCACATGTAAATAAAATTAAAGAAGTAGAAGAAATATATGGTGATGTCACAATAAAAAAAGAAAAAATGTTAAATTTTATACATTATAATCATAAGCATTAAATGACTCACGAGAGAAAGACAAATAACGATAAAGTACAGTCAACAGCATGCCAGACTAGAGTGATAATATCTTTGTTGTCAACCTTTTCAATTCATTTTACATTTTCTGTTTTAACATAAGTCATATTGCATAATCTATGAAATAAAAAACAAAAAATGTGTTTTTTTTTAGTTTTGTATCGTGTGTTTGTATATTTTAAGATATTGTCAATTAAATTCATATGTGTGTTATGTCGTTCGTTTTCATAAAGAATCAAGTCTAATTTTGACCTAAAAAATTACCAACGCGTCTAGTAATGTAATATATTTTAAAAGGTAGCTTATTTTCTACTTATTTCATATCAGGATATTAAATCTTAAAATAAAGTCGGGATAAAAATTGTGAGGTTGATAATTGTTTTTGATTAGTACTATGATTATTGATTACTAGTACCTGAATGCAATTTGGACCCTAACATGACGGTTTGCTTCGTTTAAAATATTCTTTCGTCATAAGTGCACATTTACAATTACATTTTAGATTTAGTCCCATATTTACGAGTCAAACTATAAAAAGCTTTGATTTTAATACTTAATTTTGTAAGTAGTTCACCATTATCTCGAGTTTTGACGGCTATTATAACCTCAAAACATTATTTTCAAATTAAGAATCTCATTCAAGTAAGTAAGTAAGATAATTCAAATCATGCTCTTGTACAAACTTAACTACAATATTTTTAATACCGCCAAAATGCGTTTTCGATTCAGTTTATAGTAAAATAACAGACGAAATCTTATTATATTACAGGATAGAATTGTAAATTCGGAATAAAAGAAAAATGATATTACTTATGTGCTTTCAGTACTCATAATGAATCGCTGTTATTTCAGATAACCTGTTTCTTACCCCATCACTACAACTATCAACTGTCAAAACAATGGTAAAATTAAATGTTGAGTTGTTTACGTAGGCCATGAATTAAAAAAGAAGAAGAAGAAAAGTTGTTTACGATTGAAATATATTATGAAATAATCAATGAATTTAATGATGACGGAGTCTACGCCTTTTTTCGTTGATCGAGCAAAAACAGGTAGAGCTTCATGCAAGGGCTGCAAAAGCAATTGTCTTACTGGAGAACTGCGTTTAGCTAAAGTGGTAGCTAGTCCATATGGCGAGAACCAACAAATGAAATCATGGTACCACGTCGATTGTTTTCTCAATGTCCTTCTCAAACAACGTCCAACTACAAAAAGGATTGATTCAATTAATGATATCGGTAATTGGCAAAGTCTGAGCAAAGAAGACCATGAATTTTTAATAAGCAAATTCAATGAAATGGAAAAACTTTATGCTGAAAAAAATGTTGGTAAATACACTGCTAAAGTTATTAAAAATGTTTCTACATCGACAAATACATCATCTACAGTCAGTCCGTCAAAAACGACAAAAGGCAATAAAAATATTAGTGATGCCATTGTGTCAGATGACAACATGTTTAAGACATTTTTTAGTTTGTGTAAAAAGATATCAAGAGTCGATGCATATACAGAGAAAACAGCTACAGTTAATAATTTCTTTCGTAATGGTGCTGATGGTAACTCATTTAATGGTGACATAGGATTATGGTGTAAACTGTTACTACCACAAGTATCAAAAAGAGTTTACAACTTAAAGAGTAAACAATTGGTGAAACTATTTTCTAGGATATTTAATATTGAGCATGATGACATGCTTACGGATCTGGAGCAAGGTGATGTTGCCCAGACTATTAAGGATAACTTCACAAAGTCTAGAACAGTAAAAGCTGCTTTAGAGAGTACTCTTACAATACAAGAAGTTGAAAACTTTCTTGAAGAATTGTCAAAGTTGACAAAAGAGGAAGAACAGATTTACCATTTCAAAAAAATTATCAAAAAATGTACTACCGATGATATACTGATGCTCATTAGGTTGATCAAAGGTGATTTAAGAATAAATGCTGGTCCAAAACACATATTGGAAGGTGTGCACCCTGATGCATATACAGCATTTCAAACATCTCGAGATTTGGACATGGTTCTAGATCGAGTGTTATCCAAAACCTCCACAATTAAACATAAAGATGCTATGCAAACAAGTGTTCAAGCAAAATTAGTGTTAATGACACCTGTGCTGCCGATGTTAGCGGAAGCTTGCAAGTCCGTCGAGATGGCCATGAAAAAATGTCCAAATGGAATGTTCTCGGAAATTAAATATGACGGTGAAAGAGTACAAGTGCACAAGAAAGGTAATGAATTCAAATATTTTTCTCGAGCATTAAAGCCCGTGATGGCACATAAAGTAAGTCACTTCAAAGATTACTTGCCTAGAGCATTTCCAGAAGCTGTAGATATGGTATTAGATGCAGAAGTTTTGATGGTGGATGTAAATACAGGTAAACCTTTACCATTTGGTACATTGGGTATACATAAACAATCAGCATTCAAGGATGCTCAAGTCTGTTTGTATGTATTTGACTGTTTATATTACAACGGTAAAGTATTAATGGACCTTCCTATAAAAAAGAGGAGGCAGATACTGCATGATCACATGGTTGAAGTGGAAAATCATGTAATGTTTTCTGAACAGCAATTAATAAGAAAGCCAGCAGATTTAGCAATGATGATAGCAAAAGTAAGTTGTTACATGAAATCTGATAAATTAAACCAAAATATTATTATTCAATGTTTATTTATTTAATATGTTTAATTTTCAGGTTTTAAAATTAGGATTAGAAGGCCTTGTATTGAAAGATTTGGAGTCGACATATGAGCCAGGGAAAAGACATTGGCTAAAAGTAAAAAAGGATTATTTATTTGATGGGGCTATGGCTGACACTGCAGATTTGATAGTTTTAGGAGCATGGTTTGGTAAGTCGTTATTATGTGGGTTCAGTAGCATAGCTTGCCTTAGAGGAGCCCTGTATCAAAACTAGTTAGGGTTCCCAAATGAAGGGTTAAAATTTATGCTTTCACATGGGCCCAAACCTGTTATATCTTCAGCATTATGTCAAGATAAATTTTTCATAATTGGCTGGTAATGTCATCAGAGAACATCTAGTCTCTACACTGCATGTTAGATATTGCATATTAATAGAGGCGAGTGTAATTGATATTAAATTTTGTTACTATGCAATTGAAGCCAAAAATAATATTGAATATGTGTATAAAAACAATTATAAACCTATTAAAAAACGTAATAAAAAGAGAGATTTAATGGTAAAATTAAAATCATTAGAAAAAGTCTACTATGTAAGTGATTCTATGTATTATATATTTGTTTTTTATGTTTTAGCATTATTTTGTTTTATATATGTGGTTTAGTTTAAGAAGATGTTATAAAAATCATAAAACACATAATTCAATCTAGGAATTAAAATTAATTACCCATACTTGATGATTTTTAGAACTACAAATTGAATAAAGAAATGTTAATAATTCGTTTTTTTAACAGGTACTGGTAAAAAAGGTGGGATGATGTCTGTATTTTTGATGGGTTGTCTAGATCAAAGGCGAAACAAATGGGTTACCGTAACAAAGGTTCACACAGGACACGACGACAGCACTCTGGAAAGGTTACAAAAAGAACTGGGACCACTCATGTTAAAAATTTCACAGGACTATAATAAAATACCATTATGGTTGGATTGCAATAAGGGAATGGTACCAGATTTTGTAGCTTTAGACCCAAAGAATCAACCGGTTTGGGAAATAACAGGTTTGTACTTTTATCTATTCATATTCTTTAATTTTTTTCAGTGGTTAGAGCAGTCGCCCAGATTGATTGAAGGTCGTGGGTTCAAGTCCCCACCTCAGAGTGCCTAGGGATTTTTTAAATATTTTTAATTAAGATTGGAAATAATTTAATTTTAATTAAGATGTTTAGTAATATATTTTCATGTTAAGCCCATCGGGCATACTGCCGTCAAATAATTTATTAGAGAAAATAACTTCATTCCTATTATAATGAAAAATAATATCTTGCACTTTGATTGACAATGAAAGAGAGAGCTAAAGATATTAATAAAAAAAAAATAAACACACTCATAGCCTGGAATCCCCAACCATGGCCCTTTTGGCCTTTGGGTAAATACAGCCTTGGTTATATTGCTACATAACAGAATCCATTTTTTCTTTAATATCGTACAAACCTTAATTGTGATTTCAATGCATTTGTAAATTTTCTACACCTACATCTGTTACCTGGCCTACACCCATAAACACCTTTTATTGTGTGTTTTTTTAGGAACTGAATTGACTAAGGCTGGCTTGCATACAGCCGATGGAATTTCAGTACGATTTCCAAGAGTAACAAGGATAAGACATGACAAAAATTGGGAAAGTGCCACCAACTTGGAAGAACTCAAACATTTGTATAAAACTTCTAAAGAAAAGACAGACGTTACTCTCTTAAATAAATTGGCTGAAACTATATCTGATTCTGATGAATCTCCTAAAAAGAAGACAAAGGTTAGTCCTAAGAATACAATAGATCGTTATGTAAAAAAAGATTCAAATCAGGATATAAAACCTGGAATAAAACGTGAAAGGAAGAGTGATAGTATTAATAATGATGATGAATCGCCAAGAAAGAAAATGAAGGGAAGTCCAAAAAATGAACTTAATAGAAATATCAAACAGGAACAATCATTAAAGGTTGACAATGACACAGAGTCTGAAGATTTAAATGATTCATCATATCCAGAAAATCCTTTACCTGATGCCTTCAAAGATAAGAGGTTAGGTTTCTACCCTGACTTTATAAGTTTTTCAGAAGATGAGAGAAGACATTTCGAAAGACATTGGATTGCATATGGAGGTATAGTTAACAAAGCTTTGAAATACATTGATGTTGATTATTTAGTACACAATGAAAATGTTATAAAACTAAATCGGATGCAAAAATTGAAACGTAAACTGTCTGACAATGTTAAGCATGTTAATAAATATTGGTTAATAAAATGTATTAATGATGTTAAAATTTGTGATACTTCAAAGTATCCTGTGTATGTTGAACCATGAATTACAGTATATTTATTATGAAATAATTTGTACCAATTTAATTATTTTTAATGGTCCTACCTTTTTATTATGTGGAATACTATTTCTATTTGTTCTCTTTAATAATCATTTTTGACTTGTAATCGTTGTTATTATTTAGTGTTTTAAGTGTGCCTTTTGTAAGTACTAAGTCATTTAATTTGTAAAAATAGGTTAGTATACAATTTTTATATTTAGGTTTACTACTTTTTAAAATATAACTGGTAACTCATAATAAAACTCGCATGCTGATTTCAAGGCGTCACCACCTCTCACCTTTTCTGTAGTAGTAGAAGAGAGAATATGTTATAACTTGAGTAAATATTGTTAACAAATAAACAAGAATTTGAATGGATCAAGAATTTTTAATAGTTAAGAATTCTATTATAATTAGGCATTAACAGTTTTTACTATTTGAATGAAGTAAAAACTGTTCATTTATCATTTATCGGTTAGAAATATTGGCTTAAGTTGTGACATTTGCTCAAATAATTCTCTCGACTATAAATACCAACGTCAGAATAGAAAATTTGCTATATTATCTAGGTTCTGGATGTTATGGTACTTTCATTGTTGTACCTTATATTGACTGATAAAAAAGAGTGCAAGACACTTATAAGATTTTCATCAGTACCGACGATATTTCAAGTAAACTTATGTCATCACTGAATCATAAGCAAATAATTATCAATAGCTACTTCCAAACTTGATTTTTTAATGGTATAAAGAATCGAATCTACTAGACTTGGTCAGATTATCCCAACGGGGTCTTCAATTATGTCACAATAATACAAGAAATGAAGTATGTGGTAAGTATTCATCATTGCTCTAAATGAATAAGTGATAGTTTCGAAGTACTTTATCAATTTATATTTAACGGGCAGTTGCATATTTAATGCCCATTAAGGAAACGACTACTTTAAGCTCGAATGAGTGTTCTATATTTGAAAATTTGTAGTGGCAATATCGTTTTAAACTAATGTCAATTTTAATGACGATCGTTTGTGCTGAGGGGTATCATTGCGTAAAAATGCTTAGATCCTGTAATACTAACATAAGAAGCAATTCCACAATCTACATCTTTGCCTTTTTAAAAAGTAGGCGTCTATGTTCGAGTTTAAATTTTTTAAATCGAGATATGTTAGAAATAATTTGTAGAAGTTTTACGATTATTAGTTTTTTTTAACAACGCTGTATTTGCGCACAACATTGACAGCAAAAAAAAAAGATGGTTGCCTGCCCGAGTTTCACTTTAGTCACGCTTTAGCAAGCATTGTGGCTAAAGTCATTTTCACTTTTAAAATTTTGAAAAAAGGTGGAGAAAAAATGCCTTATGCACAAATTACACATTGACAATGAGAAATGCCAAAAAAAAAACCATTTAATGCGTAAGTGCAGTGGTTTTTTTTTAATTTAATAAAAATAATAAAACGTTATTAAACGCGGCCATTTTTCGTGCATCGTGTTCTATGAGAATGCATCTATATTAATACGTAAAGCTGTACAAGTCAGTGCAAGTATGTTTAACTCGTTCTAACAAGAGGTATGCCGATTATTGTAATAGGGCATAGGATGATAACTATTTTTGATTTATTCGTGCCCTTTGTAGTTATATTATAATGTTACGCTAAAATAAAATTTACATTGCTTTAATACGCAATAATGTACGGGTAAGACGTGTCTAAATATATAACAGTGTAAATACTTATTCTGTGTCATTGTTATCTACATAAAGTCCTTTTAGGTTGGTTTGATAATTAATTTAGTGTGTTTAATTGAACATGTTTTAGCACTGAAATAATTTTTTACACATTGATTCATTTCTGTGTGTTTTATATTCTATATTTCTTTTTGATTTTATACCTGTCTATGTAAAAAAATCGGCTATATGTTTGCGATTAACCCGTTTAATAAGGATTTATTTTATGAAACGATTAACCGAACATATTGATATTAGTTTATCCAGTTAACCCGTAAACACGATTACCGGGTCTCTAGTTCGGGTAATTAATCCGATAGATTTTAGGAATCTTTCACCAGAATATAAATGCAATTTACTAACAAGTTGAGTAGGCCGGAGTCCTGTGGGATCTCTTTATGTATAGGTACCTACTTACATGGATGATACATGTTACTTAGATTCAAAAAATAGGCCTGCCTTTTCGTTCAGATATGCACGTTTCTAATTTTGTTTTGTTTGTCAGAATCGAGTAAAGAGGAGCCCGATGGCGCAGTAGCTAGCGCGCTCGGTCTGCGATACGGTTGTTAAGCAACTCTTGTAATGGCTGGTTATAGGATCGGTGAGCAAAAATTTCTCCTCCACGCTTCGGAAGGAACGTTAAACCGTTGGTCCCGACTGCATCTGTAGTCGTTGATACCCTCCATTCTGCACTGAGCCCGCGTTGTGGGTCATGGTCCATTCTTTCTATTCGATTTGATTCGATACCATCCATAGAGAAGGCCAGAAATAGACTGGTGATGAAAAGGTAATGTTCGAAAATATTGGTCCGATCATGAAAATCCTTTCACCTGTTGGTAGCTAGACTATGATGTACGTAGGCGAAGTTGCGGAACAGCTAGTAAATGAATAAATTAAACACATTACTAAAATCATGATGACACAGTCATACAGAGGTATTTTTTTTATATAAATTAATTACAAGGGATTAACTCGGTATAACTAGATTATAAAGATCACCGATTGCCGTGAACATTTTTTGTCAAATCATGCACATGTACTTTTATCATGTAAACAAGACATAAACTCTTAGAGTCTGTAACGCCAAGCTCAGCCAAAGCCAAGCCACGCCACGGCAGTTAAATGTATAACTGTCAGCCAAGCTAGCCAGCGACTGTTGGTGACGTCACTGCCAACTGTCAAGCGTGAAGCTTATAAATACCCGGAGCGCTCATTTCCTGGGTCATTCTATCGTGTGCACTTGTGCGAATCAAATCACTGCGAGTCCTTATAAGATTGTATAATTAATAAGTGATATAATTAAATAAGATTTAAATAAGAGAGCTAAATAAAAAGATTGTTATAATTAAATATTCTGCCTTTCGTTTCACTCAGAAGTGGGATGAAACGTAGTCGTTCTAATCCATCCCGCCAGGGCGTCCGCCCGCATGGGTGGGACGAACAAAAATCATCCAGTGAAGATGAAGAGTACCCGCCCCCGCCAGCTAGAAAATTACTAAAACGACTGCTCGAAAATGAAGTCGATAGGGCGATACATGACCTTGATCATGAAACCTTACCGCTCGGCCGTTCCAAAAATCATCGTGCAGCATCACTCATACCAGAGTTTGACCCCGATGGAGAGGATTGCACAGTGTCAACGTGGTTGAAGAAAATCGACCAGCTCGGGGACATCCACGCCTGGAATGACAAGGTGAAAGCCTTCCATCTACAAGACAAACTTCGCGGCCAAGCTCGGAAGTGGTACAATCGGCTAGACGAATACAATTATTCCTGGGAGGAATGGAAAGACATGCTAACCCGAGCCTTTCCGAAGCATCGTGACTACAGCGCGCTATTAGATGAGATGATGAACAGAAAGAAGTTATCGAACGAAACAATGACCAAATATTATCAAGACAAGATTGCCATGTGTTTTCGTTGCAATCTTTCTGACGCTGCTAGTATCTCGTGCATCATCAGAGGATTGCCGCCTTCATTACAACCAAATGCGAGAGCGTTCCAGTGTCAGCGCCCCGACGAGCTGTACGAAGCGTTTCTGTGTACCCTCGATGATTATCGCCCGGCAACATTCGAAGCACGCCCATCGAACAAGGACAATAAACCACCGCCAACCACAGAAAAGAAAATCATAAACCCAGATGTCGATCCCTGTCCTCGTTGCAAGAAAACTGGGCATATCCTACGTAACTGCACATTACCCGATCAGCGTTCTTGTTTCAAGTGTGGTGTACAAGGACACATCGCCACCCGCTGCACAAGCACTTCTTCCAAACGTCCAGTCGAATCAAGTAGCCTCGTCAAAGAAATTAAGCTAGTACAAAATTACAACGAAGTCTACAAAAAGCTCGCGAGGGTGAACAATATTCATTTGAAGTCATATATCGATACAGGAAGCCAAGTGAATGTCATTAATTCTGAAATTGTACGTCTGTTAACCCTAAACATTACACCTACAAACACTGTACTCAGAGGTTTTTCAGGTGGTCTTCTTACTAGTCGTGGTACAGTAGAATTCGACCTAAAGATAGACTACATACAGGTGCGATGCATTGCGCACGTAACAGACGTTAATATGCAAGACATACAGTTATTGATTGGTCAGCCAATTATAAACGCTCCTGGTGTGTCACTGGTGGTGACTAACGGGACAGTTACATTAAGGATGGATTGTAACTCAACTACAGAATTCAACGTAGTCAACGAAACTTCGAAGTTTACGGTTGTTACAGTGAGCAAGGAATCTCTACCACCCGGCGCCTCAATCATCCGAGTCCAGATGCCGGAGAATATGGATGGCAACAACGTGTACACCACACCGCGCCACTACGAACTGCAGGGAGTTTCATACTCCTTACCAGCTACAGTACTCCGCGGACGCGAGGGCTACATAAAAGTTATCAACACTGGAGCCGATAACATCAACTGGGAAGCGGGCATGGTTCTAGCGCGAGCGGAGACCTGCGAGGAACTTGTCAGCCAGCCAACTCAGGTGAGCCACGCCAAGCCATTTCTCTCTAGCCTGCCTAATATAATTTCATCACATGAGCCTAATAGTAAAATAAATTGTACTCAAAAGCTACATCAGCCTACATTATCAACCGCCTCCATACTTACCATGAACTTAAATATAAATAATAGCATAGGTGGGGTATCTATAATCGATATTAACACAGGCAGTTTAAATGAAAAAGACCATAAAAGTTTAATACATTTATTATTACAGTATAAACACACCTTTGCAATAGACACAAAAGATCTTGGTTGCACTAATTTATTAAATATGAAAATAAAATTGACCACTCAGCAGCCTATATACCGCCAACCATATAGGTTATCGCACACAGAACAACAAATAGCTAGTTCCAAAATCCGTGACTTGTTAGATGCTGGTATTATTAAAGAGTCCGAGTCCGATTACGCCTCTCCA